TTTGCTGTGAATCAGATGCAATACAAAACTTACTAATCTATAAAAGAATAGTTGGATCCAAACTGTGATTCTGGCAGGTGGAATAAACTAAGGTTATTGCTGAGGAATTGATGATGGTCTAGATAACAGTTCCTGGAGAGGTTAAAAGCTTGTTGAGATAAACAGGGGAGGTTTTTGGGATTGGTGAAAGGGAATGAGTGGAGTCTGAGCCACCTCTAACACTGCATTTCCAGTTTTGCAAAGATTTGTAAGATAACGACAGTTGATCTCAATTCCTCAGAAATTGGATTGTAACTTAAATGACATCATAGGTTGATCTAGTTGTCCAACTATATTACCCTTAATTTTCTTCATTCTTCCTGGGTAGATAGTTTATTATAACTTGGGGAAGAAGGCTTATAGAAATTTTCCTATCAGGCTCTGAATATCAGCTACCAATTTGGCCAAATACCTGATAAGTGGCAAAATCCTTTCAAATATCTTGTCAGGTTTCAAGCAAGACCAACAGTAAATATTTCTGGCAGTATTAAACAACTCTATTAATTTTAATTTAGTTTCCCCTTGATTGTTTAAGGGAATAATGTAGCAATTTCCCAGAAATTCTCTCAGAGTCTTGTTAACTTTGGGAGGAACTCATGTGGGGCTCTCCTTCACAAGCAGATATAAGGATGTATATAAATATAAAGCCATTAACTTAACAGAGTTTTGTGTAGTCTTTTCTTTTAGGTACCTCTGAGATCTTAATTTTTAATTAGTTTTTGCTACAAAACTTTCAATAAGGCTATTTTGGATTTTTGAAGATTTTACATTTAAGTGCAGTTCTTAAATGATGTTATATAACTGGAACATTCCTTCTAATGTAATTCCCTTGAGGTTGGTGGTAGTTTGGTAGAAGCCTAGCCACAAACGGAGTTCAACTAACATTTCTATCTAACTATATCAGACCACAAGTGGGGTACCATCCACATTTTCGTCCAACCATGTTTTGGGGCCCTCAACCTGACAGTTATCAAGCCAAGTTCTCAGGACAAGGAACAAGCTTTGAAAGAATTTTGTGTTCTTTTAAAATATTTGCAGCTTCTGGGATAATTAGCTTTTGAGTAGGTGTACCAGAAGGTTGTACTCTTGACTCGTTAGAGATTAAAGATTACCTTTAATCTGTTTGGTCCAAAGTTCTCAAAACTAGTGTTCAAAAAGATGAATTTTTGAACCTGAAGGGAGTCTTGAAGTGGCCACTGTAATTTTAAATTATCCTAGGTTATCTTGATCCAAAGATCCAGCCATATACAACTATCCTCTCCATATTTCTTATACATATATCCATCTGGAGTACCTGAAGGAAGCGTGTTTACTAAAGAGGATTCAGAGTAGGGGTTCCCCATTTTGGCCATCTAAGACTTTAGTTATATTTTATTAGTTTTTCCCATTTTGTTAAGTATTTTGCAAGTAATGACTCCATATGTACTTTACTGAAAGCCACCCAGAGTCCCATCCAGGAGCTTTTTGGCTTTAGAAGCATGGTTTTCCATTGTCTTTTAGTTTCACTTTAATATAAAGCCTGACAACTCCTACAGGCAGTTTAGTGGGTCAAAAGTGTGTTGCTTGTTTCACTTCCTGAAAGACTGTGAACACTCTCTTAGATGTCTCAGTTTCTCCTGCCATCAGTCTAAAACTACTGCGGGGGATCGGAGCACTGGATGACTAATCCTTATGTGTATGCCCATGGATGAGCTGTCAGTTATTTAATGTGAATGATCATGATGAAGTTGTCTATGGGACCACTGCATATCATGAGGATTGACCTCAGACACTTCCACCAGATTCTCAGTCGCCTGAGAATTCCTTGTGGCAGGAACGATCGGAGTTGAACAAGTTAAGTCTCTCCTTTTGCTGTCAATTTGTTCAGACTTTATAGGCATAAATCTTTTCAAATTCTTTAAGCCAAATTAAAAGTTCAGTCAACCCAGTTCACTCCATATTTCCCCTAGGTTCCCCTTACCTATGAAAAGTACACTTAAGGTATTTAGTACTAAGATGGAAAATACCTCAAATAAAAGTCAGGACTGTCAACTTAAATAAGGAGGTCCAGATTTTGGAAGAACTCACCAAAACAGCTGAAGAGTGCAGTAAAACCGGAGGAGTACAATGGGCCTTTGCTTCTACAAAGTACCAGTTCAAAGTAGGCTCCAGGTGGGTTTCTCTGAACTCCTGTCTGGCTTGCCAAGAAATATCATTGCAAATAATAATCATTATATAGTAAAGAAAAGAAGTGAGTTTTATGAGAGCCAAATTGAGGAGTATAGCCTGGGAGTTGCAGCTTTTGCAATAGAGGAAAGCACTCTGGAGAAGAACAATTTTCAGCACAATTATATACCATTTCAAGACAGAGATAAATACTTCAAGCATAACAGGGGTACATTCCTTACATATTATCATGTACACAGTGGGTCAACATGATCCTGGTGTCATAGTAAAGAAGACACTAATTCTTGTCTTTAAAGAGCACTGGATTTGTAAGAAGAGAGGCATTAATTCTTATCCTTAGAGTACATTTTTTAATAAAGGGTAATGAATAAAGCAGATGTACAGTGTATGTTTGACAGGCTGTAAGTCAGGCTTCTTTGGTTCAATTAAAATTCAGGTTAAATCAAGGTCAAACCAGAATGGATTCCCCATGTACTTTAATACATTAAAAATTTATTATCAGGGGAAAGGCACTATGTACATGGAAAAGCAGAGACTGCAAAAAAAAAATCTATGGTGTCAAATTAGAATTGGAGCTATTAAATTAATTCATGGTTTTTAATACATCTATAAATATATTGAAATTTATATATTATATATCTATACTGTTCCCATCCCCCATGCTTTCTGTTCCACTCCTGACCAACTTCTTATGGGTAACAATTTCTTTAGTTTATTAGTTTCTAGTTTCTACTTTCCATTTTTCTTTTATATAATTTCCTAGTTGCATCCTCTGAGATCATTTAGAACCTTTGAAAGCAATGAACACACATAACACCCAATTTGTTCGTTACCATTCTCCTCATAAAGGGACCAATGTTACTTAGAAAACTGACTTATTCCAGGCTGAGGCCAGGATATGAGAAGATCATCCAAGAAAATTTTGCTGAGCCTGAAAGTGAAAAGTGTTCCATGAATCATGGGGACATGCAGCCAGCTTGAAAGGGCTCCCACTGGCCAAGCCTGGAATAACTTGATCTTCAAAATGAATAACACCAGGAAAGGATCATGACTCAAATAAATAAGAATCTAAGAGTCCTTAATGATATAAATAAATCAATGAAAAAACAAACAAGTAGGGGCTGAGGGAGAGTTCCTTCTTACAGGACAATACAACAGATAAATGTAGAAAATATGACAGAATTAGAAAGTCATCATTTGGCTATGACGTTTGCAATAATTTTTTCATGTAAGAATCACCAATGGATGTTAAATATAGTGGGTGAAATCTTAAAAGTAAAGAAGTTATGGTTACATGGTCTCAAAATATCGTTGGAAATGCAATGGAAAGCCATTCATGTTGGTGAGCATTTCTCCTCTTCCATTTCTAGGGCCAGCTCCAGGTCTCGATCTATTACCAGCTACAGAGCTAGAGCCAGTTACAGTGCCAGTTCCAGCATTAGCACCAGAACTAGAATCTGTGCAGAGCCAGAGCTAACTCCAGACCTAGAGTCAGATTCAGTACCACCAGCTCTGCTGGTGTCTTAAGTTGGCTTCTGCTGCCATAACAAAATACCATAAACTGGGTGGCTTAGACCCCAGAAATTTATTTTCTCACAGTTATGGAGGCTAGAAGTCCAAGATCAAGGTTCCGGCAGATTTGGTTTTTGGTGAGAGTTCGCTTCCTGGCTTGCAGATGGCCATCTTCTCACTATGTCCTCACTCTGCCTTTTCTCGGTGTGTGTGCACAGAAAGAGAGAGCTAGCTCTCTGGCATTTCTTCTTATAAGCACATTAATTCTATTGAATCAGGGCCCATCAGTATGATCTCATTTAACTTTAATTATGTTCTTAGAGTTCCCATCTCCAAATACAGCTACACTGGGAGTTAGAGTTTCAGTATATGACTTCTGGAGAGTTGTAATCATCAGTCCATAATGATACACATAGATATAAAGTCTTTAAGCATTTTGTCATGTTGTTGGAGTCTTGCATTTTTTCTCTGAATATTTCATTTCTATAATCCACTGATATGGCATATAATTGCTCTACAATATTCCTAATGTAAAGATACCATAACTTAGTTGTTGGACTTTTAAATTTTTTTCTGCTATTATGAACAATGTTGCTATGGATTTTCCTATTTTTGTCTCCAGTTTTACACGTGCAAAACTTCTTTAGGATATATACCTGAGACTGGCATTACACAGTCCAAGTCAGCGAACATTTTCAAGTGCAAAATATAATGCCATATCGTTTCTCTATTATAAACGAAAAAGACTTCGGACTAACACACATTATTGTAAAAAAAGAGCAACCTCTAACATAAGTTTTCTAACCTATTAATATAAAATGGAACCTCACTGGAGTTTTACGTGTCTTTCCTTAATTACTATTGAGTTTGACCATCTTTTTATATGATTATTAGCCCATTTGAGTTTCTTTTCTCTGACATAACTATTAATCTCATTTTGCCTACTTTTCAGTTTTGGTGTGTATGCATATGTAAGTGTATTTTTGTTACTAAATTGTAAGCTATTGCAGGGGGCAGGTTTTGAATAGTCTTTGGAAAGATGATTGGGACTAGAATAGCAGAAGATAAACATGAAGTTCTTCTGGGAAATGGTATCTGGTACCTGGGGAAGTAGTAATGTAGTTTCTTAAATTCAAAGAGCACTTTTTCTCATACTGTTTAATCAAATAAGAAATCTTGAAGAGTCATGGATTTTATTTTTATCTCCACACTTGTAGGAAAAGAGGGAGGTGCCAATGATGTTCTTCTGGTTTGAGAAGGAAATCTTGTTGACTCGACTTTTAGGAACACAGGCAGGTCAATTGTAGCATTATAATTAGGGCAACAGATTATCAACCATGATCCATAGGATCTGGAATCCATTTCTGAAATCTAAATATCTCACAATACTGGTCATTCAAACAGCAGTTCCAAGTATTAATTGATTTGACACTAAACAGAACAAATTAATAGCACATGAATATTCACACATCTTCATCTCCAATAACACACATGATATTCATCTTCTATTTGGCTTCAAAGAAATGGAGCTGGAGATGTATGCAAAAAATTTGGAATCAGTTTTTGTAAGGGGTTTAATGGAAAGCATTTCTTGAAAAGTTAATCTATGGTATTGTGAAAAACTTGCACCAAGACAATGGCGATTCCATAGTCTTCGGGCAAAAGCCCCAAGATCTATAGAAACTGTAGTCCATTTCCCAGGTCCATTTGTGGTGACGAGATATAGAGTCCCTCAGTCTTTTATTCAGAAAGTGAAAGTATTAGAGTGTTCCTGGTGTTCTTGAAATAGCATGGGGTTCAGAAACAAGAGGCTTCTGTTAACACGTTCAGGCTCCAGTTTGGTTTCTTGTGACTCTGACTCAAATTTTCCCCAAGGTCAACAGAGAAAACAAAAAGCTTTGTCAATCGCCAAGTTCCTAGTAGCTGCTTTGTGGTTATTATTATCATTCCTTCAAGCATGAACTCTCCTGTTGCTTGCTATCAACCAACAGCTCTTCCCTCAAGGGAACCAAAGGTAATGAGGCAATTATTTCCAGTTTGTCTCTAATTTGTAGGTGGGGGTGGAGTGTTGTCCCCCCCCAAAATCCTCTCCATGATTTGTAAAGTTAGAACCCATGCTCATTGCTCAGGAGTTGTAAACAAATGTGTGCCCATATATATATGGGCACACAGAACTCAAGGAATAAGATGAGAATTTGGAAGACAAGCAGACTTTTTTCTCCACGTTCCATGAAAATTCTTTTAGAAACAGTGATGGTAGACTGAAAACATTAAGGAGTGGGAAAGAATTTTCTTAAATGAAGGACTGAAGGCTACGTTACAAGGTATGTCACTAGATCTTTTATGTTGTTGACATAGATTCTTGTCCTTAATCCTTTTGCTTTGATCAGTTACATATGTTTCCACCAAGTCTCCAATTTCTGACTTCTGGAAGATCCAGAGCAGCTCACTGGGTTATCTTCCTTTATCCAACCTATGGAAATAAAACATTAGCTAAAAATTTGTGAGGGGCGTGAGGAAGGTTAAGAAAGGCCAACAGACCAATTGGAGAGTCTCTACTAGAATTTCTAATAACTGGTTACTGACTTAGCCTTGAACCACAATTTCCTAATCTCACATTTCTGTCATGAATTTCTGGACTCCTCAAGTTTGAATCTGATCTGATCTCATGATCGTTCTGATATTTCATGGTTTCTTCAAAAGAGATTCTTTTGGTTCCTAGGTGGATGTGTAATAATCTGATGTCAGATCAGGTTTTTAATGGGATTTTAGCCCATTAGTGGGACAAAAAGACTGAGCTATTCAGGTTAAAATTCCTGTACTGACTAATTCAAAACCATGTTTCCATTTTGTGATAGTCACAATGATTTCCCAGTCTTTCACATTTCCATCTCTCATTTTTTTTTCTTATCTCTGGCAAAAGAGAAGAACATGAGGAGGGATAATGAGAGCAGTGTGTCTGAATTCATCCTCCTGGGGCTCCCTATCTGGACAGAGAACCAAGGCATATACTATACTCTTTTTCTGGTCATGTATCTGATCACGGTGCTGGGGAACCTGCTTATCATTCTGCTCATCAGGCTGGACTCTTGCCTCCACACTCCCATGTACTTCTTCCTCAGCCACTTGGCCTTCACTGATATCTCTTTCTCATCGGTCACAACTCCAAAGATGCTCATGAATATGCAGACACAGAGTCAGTCCATCTCATATGCTGGGTGCATTTCCCAGGTGTGCTTCTTCTTGTTTTTTGGGGGTCTTGACAGCTTCCTTCTCACATCAATGGCCTATGACAGGTATGTGGCCATCTGTCACCCTCTCCACTATACAACCATCATGAGTCAAAACATTTGTTTTCTGCTAGTGACTGTGTCTTGTGTCCTATCCTGCACCGGTACACTTTTGCACACCCTCCTCCTGGTCCGTCTCTCTTTCTGTGGAGACAACACTCTCCCCCACTTCTTTTGTGACCTCTCCACCTTACTTAAGCTGTCCAGTTCAGATACAACAGTCAATAAATTGGTTATCCTCATCGTAGGAACTGTGGTCCTTACCCTGCCATTCATATGTATCCTGGTCTCTTATGGCCACATTGGTGGCACCATTCTTAGAGTCCCCTCTACTAAGGGGATCTGCAAAGCCTTGTCCACATGTGGCTCTCACCTCTCTGTGGTGTCTTTATACTATGGAGCCATTATTGGACTGTACTTTTTCCCCTCATCCAATAACTCCAATGACAAAGATGTCATTGTGTCTTTATTGTACACTCTGGTGACTCCCATGTTAAATCCCTTTATCTACAGTCTGAGGAATCGAGATATGAAAGGAGCTCTGGGGAATATACTCAGTAGAGAAAAATTTCACCATGATGAGCATTATTTTTCCTATTAATTGGATATAAGACCTGCTCCATCCTGCACATGCAACGTGAGCATCCTTTCCTCTCTGAAAAGCTGCAATTTGGTGAATCTTGGTGCAGCATTCTTTCTTCATTCCCTGTTTTATTTTATACTTCATTTTCTTCTCTGTTTAGTTTTTGTTCATTTTAAGGAGTCATCAGAAGAGTTTATTAAAAACATACCTACGAAACTATCCTTTCCTAAATAATTTTTCTTTTTCACATAGTATCCCTTGTCCTACAAGCATTTAAAATTTTTATGCAGTTACAGCTTTCAGTCTTTTTATTTTATTTTTTGTTATAGTTTACAAATTTTGTACAGCCAAGCTTATCCTTTGTCAAGATAACAAAAATATTCCTCTGGCAGTTTTACGATTTTATTTTTGTGTTTAATTTTGTAATACACTTGATATTTATTTTTATGAATGACATTAATTAGATATTGAGTTTTATTTTTGTTTCTAACTTCTTATCGATTGTCCAAATTATGTTTCAGGTTTCTTTATAGAGTTATGGTAACATGGTATGTCACTTCTTTTCCCCTCTATATTGAGTGGACCTGGCCATGAATTGAAATGAGATGGTTTTCTGTACTAGGCCAGGAAAACTGTGCAGACAGGACTGGTGGTGAACTCAACCTTGACTGTAGCCCTCTGTGTCCTTGGATGGCCAACTGGGTGTGAAGCATGGTAGAGAGAGCAGAGATTTTAAAGTGGCTCTCCAAGTGGTGATGTGAGTATGGGTGATCAGTCTAATCTGATGAGGGAGGTTGAGCCTTTCAGAGCATGGCACTAATAATGCATAGGCAGAATATCTGGAAATCTAGACAACCTGAATTGAACTCAGGAAGGATTTAGTATAGTTTAATCCAAACGTATCTCAATTTTTAAAAACAATACCTCCCTTCCCTAAGGACATAAATATAGTGTCCTATGTTTCCATCTGAAATGGTAAAGTTTGTCTTCAGTCCTGAGAAATTGCCTCTGCTCAAGGCAAATGTAGCTAACTTCATTGCTGTAAGCTGATACCTGTGACAAATCATTATTTAATTTAATCCTAGCAATTGCTATAAAGGAAGGAATTCATATTAAGAGAAACTTAGTAAGTTGCCCAGTGCCACTAAACTAGCAATATTTACTGGAGGTAGGACTCAAACTACTCTACGTGTGTGGTTTAATACTGAGTCCTTGGCATCATTTGAATATTTTTCAAAATTGAGTAATATTTTTACCCATTTTGCTGCAAATTTTATTTAAAGTTTAAAAATGTTGAAATAGCAAAAAAGGAAGATATATACTATATATACAGTTTAAACACACATGTATATAGTTTGCTGCATGTGTGTGTATATATATATGTTTATGGGTTTGTATATATGTAACATCTAATCACACTTTAAAGAATAATATTAAAAGGAATACTCACTTAACAATCTCCAGGCTCAACCAGTAGAAAACTAACAATATTGTTCAGCACCTTGTGTCTCCTCCTCAATTGTATCTTCCTCTCCTCTTGAAAATACCCAGTATCTGTAACATTTTCAATATTCCTTTACTTTTCTTTAAAATTTTAACACTTCTGTGTTTATCCTTCAATTTTTCATGCTCTAGAGCTGCATATAAATGGAATAATGCTACATTTATTCTTCTAGGCTTTGCTTTTGCTGTCCAATACTGCCCTTGTGAAATTCATCCACATTGTATAATGTCCCACTGTGAGTCTGCTACAAACTTGTCTGTTGTAGCTTCCATGGCTATTTTGTTTGTTTTCAGCATTTTACTATCACAAACAATGCTGCTGCAAACATTCTTGTACATCATCTAGTGCATATATGCAAGAGTTTCTTTAAATTCTGTACCCAGAAGAAGAATTACTAGATTTTAGACATGTGTATGTTCAACTTAACTATCACTGCTAAGCTCTTCTCTAAAATAGTTGTATCAAGAAGCCACAGTGAAAAGACTACACACTGTATGATGTCAACAATATGACATGCTGGAGAAGGCAAACTGTAGAGACAGTAAAAAGATCAGTGGCTACCAGAAGTTCAGGTTTGAGGGGGAGAAGAATAAATAGGTAGAACAAAGGGGATTTTTAACAAAGGGCAATGAAACTATTCTGTATGATGCTGTAACAGTGGATACCTGTCATTATGTATTTTACACAAACAAAAAAACATGTACAACATAAAAGAGTGAATTCTAATGTCAACTATGGGCATTAGTTAATAATATATCAATGTTAGCTTAATCCTAACAAATGTACCACACTGATGCAAGATGTTAATAATAGGGGAACAGGGTAGGGATGGAGGAGAAGAATATGGACACTTTCTGCTCAATTTTTCTGTAAACCTAAAACTACTCTGAGACATAAAGTCTATTATTACTATTATTATTTTATTTTTGGTGAGGAAGTTTGGCTCTGAGCCAGCATCTGTTGCCAATCTTCCTCTTTTTGCTTGAGGAATCTTGTTGCTGAGCTGACGTCTGTACCAATCTTCTTCTATTTTTTTATGTGGGACATCGCCACAGCATGGCTTGTTGAATGGTATGTAGGTCCACACTGGGGATCTGAACTCACAAACCCCTGACCATGAAATGGAGCTTACAAACTTAGCCACTATATCACTGGGCCAGCCACTAAAGTCTATTAATTTTTTAAAGTTTTACTAATTCAAATCTCCATCACCTCGGTATGAGAGTTCCTACGAGTATGAGAGTTACTTTGCTTCTTCAACGACACTTGGTATTAAGAGATTTCTTAATTTTTACAATTATGGCGAATAGAAAATTGTATCTCATGGTGGTTTTACTTTCTATTTCCCTTATTACTGACGAAGTAGAGCATCTTAGCCTATGCTTAATGGACATTTGTGGCAGAGATGGCTGGCTGACTCCCAAAATTTCATGACCTCCTTCCCACATGTGAAGATGTCACTGGGAGGCAGCTGCCACATTTTCTACTAATCTAGGTGCAGGTACATGGCATGTTCTGCCCAGTGGAAGAGAATGTGTCTCATTTCCTGGCCAGAATTTTAAAGAAGAATATGTGTCTTCTCCTCTATTGTCTGGAAGCAAATTACCTGCTGCCCTGAAACACAAGTGAACCGGTCCCTGAATTTTCACACAGTGAAATGTCATCAACCTACTAGAAGACCCACACTGGACTATTAGAGCAGCCATCACTATCCTTATTGATGCAAATTTTGTCTTGTGAAATAAATCGTTGTTTCTTTTCCCTGCTTTTTTATTGGTTTTATTCTTTTTATTTATTATACTGTAAGACAGACTTCATATAACCTGGAGACAAATCCTTTGTCAGTTGTATATATTGCAAATGCTTTCCATTATTGTAAGCTTATTACTTTTGGGTTTTTTTTTTTTTTAACTATCTATGCCTTAATTTTAATGTGATTAAAGATATTAATGCATTATTTTATTATTTATATTCTTGACTTAAGCCTTCTTCCTTGAGAAAGTCACCTTGAAAGTGGCAACCATTTTGTTTTATAGACAACAAGGAAAGGATGTGACATTAGGAAAAGTGCAGGGGCTGAGGAAGTGTATTCTTCCCACTATGTTACATGCCTGAATTAACTATAACCTCAAGCAAGACAGTGCTTGCTGCCAGAGAGCTCTCAAGAATTTCAGGAAGTAAACCAGGATGTTTGAGGATGAATGAAAATCTGTGGTTTCAAGATACGTGTCTGGATGGTAATGTAAATATTAATGATAACAATAAAATTCTAATAATAGCAATTCATTAGTCATATGTTTATTGTGTTATTAATATTGGCTAGCTGCTGTGACATGTACTTTATATCATATCAGCCTAACAGGACGACAAAAAAGGCATTGTTCTCATTTAACCAGACAGAAACTAGGGCTTAGAGAGTATAAGTAATTTGCCTAAAATCATTCAGCATGAAAATGATGGGCATATCATTCAAATTCAGATTTATTTGATTTCAAACCCATGTTCCTAACTACCATGCTATATTGCCTCCAGCAGAGCATAATTTGACAAAAAAGAGATGTCTGAATATGTGCTCTTCATTAGAGAGGAAAAGCTGGGATCTAATTTCCTCAAATCCTTTGGATGGATGTATTGGCTCAGTTCTTAATCAGATGATCAGAAGTGAATAGAGTGACTAGGATACCAGCTACCTGGTTTTCAAATATAGCTACTCATAAAGTGAATTGCTCAGGGACCCAGGAAAAAGGCAGGTCAGACCCTGGCCAATGATTTTGATGGACTACCTAGTTTCTGTCAATAAGGGAATGTTTAAGGCAACTATGTTATACATCCATTGGAAGTAATATCATGTAGCCAATAAAATGAGTGCATGAAAAGCATATGATATAATTTTTGAAGGGACATAATAGAAATTTATATATAGGCATCTTTAAAAGTATTTGCAAAAACAATGCAGATTATATTATTATTTACCATTATTATTAAACCTGGAAGGTTTTGCTCACAGCTTGGATGCATGCCAGATATGCAGCAAAACTGAGGGAGAGATACCATTTTCCTAGAGAGGAATTTACAAACCCCAAGGAATTATAATCATTTTGTCCATCTATGTTATTTGAGATGCTACAATAAAATTATAAAAGTGCTTGGCACAATGATAAATGTTTGCAAGATTTTGCAGCAGAACATTCACACACACGCACACACACATACACATTTACTGCTGAGTGAAGTCTATAAGCACTGCTGTTACCCAGCTCAGGAGTGATAAATTCAAGTACTTTCAGCTCTAGGATATGAACTAATTTGACGTTAGATCTGGGACAGGGGAAAATGTCACAAGCTCAACCCCAAAGTGAGGAGGAGGTATGCTTGATCTTTTTAACCAGATCTAGGCAACAACAAAGGTATCCATTTTTACCAACCAGGCTGAGGAACCCAGGCTATGAAGGCCACAGATTTCTTGTAAGGGGGCAATTTGCGAGTAATTACTTCAGTCCCCTTAACCGTTCCC